TACTATTAATTAGTAAATAAAAGTCTCGCATCTAATGCCCTTAGCCAACTTAAAAAAAAAAAAATAATAATAATAATAATAATAATAATTATTAAAAGATAAAAAGATAATAAAAATATTCAATTTTGAATAATAATAATTTAATAATATATTTTCTATAGTATCTAATATCTTTTTCTATAGAAGTTATTATAAAAATTTTATCTTTAATCATTTCAATAATTATTTTTTTAAGATTGAACTATTGCAATAAGTTCTAATAACTAAAATAATCTATAAACAGTTAGTTAGTATAAGTATCTGATTGCTTAAATAGTTTAAAAAATAATATGATATAAAATTTAAAAGATTTTTTTAAATTAAATTTTTATTTATTAAAAATAAATATTATCTTTAATTTCTTATATTTCAACTTTAACTTAATTTTTAAAATGTCAAATAGAACAAATTTATATAAAACAATATTAATAAAATTTTTGATATATTAGTTTCAACTATATTTCTTTAAGGTGATGTTAATAACAAGTTAATATAAAATAAAATTGATATAATCTAGTAATATATAGAATTGTTTATAGATAATAATTTTTGTAATATGTGAAATACATATATAAATAAAATAAAAGCTTGCTAGATAAGGTCCAGCTAATTATTAACTAAAATAATAATAATAATAAAATAAAAGTATTTAACAGATTATAATATTAAATATTATATTAATTTTATTCAATTGTCTTTACTTGAAATTAAATTAATATTTTGTAATTTAAATTTGAAAATATTAACTACTGTACTATTGACTTACAAATTTATAATTTAATATATAAATTATAATTTACTTATATAAATTTATAATAAATTTAAATATTAAACTAGTATTAAATTATTATTAAAGATTTTTGCCACTTGAAATGGTTTAATTTTATTATATCATATTATTGTATTATTGTTTTTTATATATAATCTGATTAGAAAAAAGAAAATGATAAGATATGATTGCAATCTGAAGCTTGTAGGTCTATTCCAATAGTGACATTCTATAGAACTTAATTATATGACCAAAGGGCAAGGTATTAGCTATAGGTGGTAAGAAGACTAGGCAAAAATTGTTAAGCCAAGTATGTCTAGTGAGAATTTACAAGATTAAATCGGAATTCAAGCAAGGATGCCAGTTTCACAGGTGGTGAAAATAGTAGTACTACATTATGCTAGTGGTATATCCCAAGAATTGGTGATAATAGTAACTAAAATATTGAGATTGATCTCTATAATATTTCATAATGTACCCACCCATGACAGACACAGTCAAGACTGGTTCTAGTAGATTAGATGGTTTAAAACTAGTGGTAGGATTTCCACCTCCTATGTAAGTCCCACCTGGCATGTGGATCACCTACTTGATATTTAAAATTTTGTTTAGCTAGGTATGTCAAAGAGCAATAGGCTACAATTAATTTAAGTTCTATGTATCTTAAAGATTGTTAATGTAATGATGATAAACCTTTGTTTAATAAATGTCTCACATTTAATGCCTATTTGCACTTAAAAAAAAAAAAAAAAATGATAAGATAGGATTGAAATCTTAATCTTCAATTTTAATAATTATATTTTTTTTTTGTTCCATGAAATTTAATAATTTGTTAATGGAAACAGGTGACTTAGCACATAATCTAGAATAATCAGTAATCAATTGATCTCGGCGAGCTAGCATAAATTAGTGATAGCTCATAAAGGAAATTTTTGAATGAAAAATTTTAATCAATGTAAATTTGAGTCATTATTTTCGCTCAAGGAAAAGGTACGGACCGCACTTTGTCGAGTACGTGTTACAAAGGTCACAATGATCATCTGAGTAGAAAAGCCAATCAATATTAATACGTATATATTCATAGTATACACGTGCTTTAAAACTTAGAGTTCTACGGCGAATCAAACGGGTATGCAATTTATTTGGCTCTAGTATAGTTTTCCGGAGTTTTCGGATCCCCTTTTTAAAAAACGAAAATTAAAATTTCTAGACTGTTCAATAGCCCAAGAGAACGACGGTTTCAAAATTTGCCCGTAACTCGAACATTCATCCCTCCTTCCTTTTTGCCTCGGTCAAGCTACCTTTGATATTTGAGTTATTGCTTGTCGCAGCTGCGGTTGCCGTAGAATTACTTATCTCGAGCGCATAAAGTTCGACCAAAAGGTATTCAATCCTCTTTGATTTGATAAATAGCTTGCGAGACACGAAAATGCACCACGAATGCAGCTACTTATGTTCCAGACCTTCCGAAGTAAGGCGAATCGCTCACTCGGTCGGAACGCCGGTGCATGAACTTAAAGACGACAGAAAATTAACATAATTATGAACTAACAATATTTTCTATTCTAATTAAGTATTACACGTAGCGTCGTAGGGGAAATGGGTCGAAAAGATTTCATTCAAGATGTTAAAACACTCAGGGAACATTTCCGTGGTTTGAATTCGAAGGCGTCCGCTCTGGTGAAAGGTACAATTGAGTACAGCACTTTCAATCAATCGGACCATTGGCATTTGCTTACGCGATTTATTCCGTATTTCGCGATATAACGAATAAAACTACTCGATTTTTCATTTTTGCAAGACTTTGACTTTCAGGATCCAGAGCTGAGTTTCAGGTTCGCGTACAAGACAGGAAAGTCCTTTACGGTTCAAATATTTGTGAACGGTAGGTTTCCCTGAATGTTTGTGACCGTTGAAATGCTTCTTAAGGATCTGAGATTTCTTAATTGGGGGTTCATGCGTTCGATTTTCTTTTTCACTTGGAAGCGTATTGATTAAACCATTTGGGATCTTTTTCTTTAATGGTTCCAAGACACCTCAATACAGTCATACCCAGAAAACTTTAGCGCGCTCATATGCATAGATAATGCTACCGATGACGATGCCAATACAGGTGAGTTCAAGCATGATAATTGCATTTTCTAAATTCTGGAATTTGCTGATATTGTGGATCATTAAATAGCTGCGAAGTGCCTATCTGATGTTAGTGTTGATAACAAATCCGTGAGCGAAATTGTGGCTACAATAGTACCGAAACTTTGTGACCACTTTAAAATTGCACTTCCTAAGGAACTTTCGATGAATTCATTAAGTAAATTTTCACGGGCATTGGGAAATTCATCTACTCCAGCCAGTATTAAAAAGAATCCGGTGGTGACAAATGTTTTGACGCCGATCGTTATGCTAAAGAGGGATTTGGAAGAAGTGAAACATTTTCAGTAAGACATTCTTTCTTTATTTGCTTTCAAAGAAATTCCGTAATGTAAATTCCCAACATTTTTTAAAGATACAATGCCGAACTTCTCTGTGCCGATGAGATTGGATTTAAGGTGGTAGTCTCTATTCCAGTCAGACGCCTTGGACTATCACTGGAAGCATGCGAAGCGTGGAATCTTGATCCTAATCGGTAACGTTCGATTATAATTCACACTTTTTTGAGTTTTACAATCACCTTCTTATAATATTTAAATTTTGCAGGTATCTAGTATGCATAATGCAATTTCCACCTCAATATATTGACTTACAAGGCGTTGTCGCCAATGCTTGCCAAACCAAAGCGTACATCGCAAAGGAAGGTGGATTCAAAGCTGTAAAAGATGAATTGAAAAGATTATATAATATTCAATTCACCGTTTTGACTTCCTCGCAACCGAAGGGGGTGCCAAGTCGGTCGCAGCATAAGGATGACACCACGGAAAGTGATCACTTTGTTCTTTCTTGGACTTTGAATGAACTCCTACGCGAGAAATTCTTTCATATGTTATGTGATAGATTATGGTTTGGGATCGGATGGGCCGGTGCGGAGTATGCCGATTACAAGAGAAATAGAGAGTTAGATGTCGATTTCCTTAATGACGTGGGGTTGCAAACTAATGATCAGATTTACGAATGTTTGACTCGGGATAAAGAGCCACACTGGGTTTTACACTACTTTGATTCAGAAGAGATGGAAAAGGCGACCGCTTCAAAAAATCAAAATTTTCTCCTACTGGTCTTACGTTTTCTCCGTCGTCGAATTCTATTGTCGACAAAATATTGTCTGACATGCCACTTCCTGCATAATGAATCAGTTTCTTCTATTAGGCCTTTCGTATGCGGAATAGCGTTATGTCAGCATCAGGCTCTTGTTGGTTTAGGAAATCTTTTCGAAGCCGTGTTGGTCAATAGCCCAGTTGTTGTAGATTTGCTGATATCGTTGTGTTACGTTGCTATTAGTGCTCGGAATCTTAACCCACATCCGTCCAAGGCTATCGGGATTACCACCACCAAACAACTTGAGATCGCAAATTCGTTAATCGTTGATTGGGGTACTAATTCAGGAACCGTTGGTCAGAGAACCGAAAAAGGTTACGTAGTTTACGGATGGAAAAATTTTGACGGTCAAGTGTTGATCGATGACATGTTGGAGGTTTTCAACCCGGAGACCGGACAATCATTTACCGTTAACCGATGCAGTTCAACCTCTACGGTCAGAGTTTTGGAAGTCAACTCTGAATATTTAATCACCGATTTTCAGATCACCGTGTCAGCATCCGCAGTTAATAATAAAAGTGTTTATCTACCATTTCGAGTTCACCGCCGACATGAAAGAAACTTTTTGGATTCAAGTGAAGCACCCAATTATCAACTTTTACATAAAATTATTGACAAATTACCTTCTGTAAATACCATGGTGCAATATTGTAAAAAGAAAATTCTTAAACAAGAGCTTGATAAATTAGACGTTTTATGCTTCCCCCTATTGTCATGGATAATTTCTTCCAGTAGAACGCATTTACGTTTGTTAGAATCTGAAGATGAAAAGGTACAATTTAACGATAACAACGGGAATTCCGGAAATTGGAAACAGTTCATTATGATAATGAGCTCTCCTGAAAAAGAAGAAATATTTCAACAAGAAAAAGAAAAACTAAGAAAGGAAAAAGATCAAAGTAAGTTAAATCTCTAACCTTTTCGACGATTCAACAGACAAGAAAAAAAACCATAATCTCATTGATCATCTCCTTTAGGGGTAGGAGAACTGTTCGCCTTTCATGGGTCTCCTTTACATAATTGGCATTCGATAGTTCGGTAAATTGTAAATCCATTCTTAGTAAAAAGGGAGTCGTGAAATTGTAACAATATAAGAATCTTAATCCATTCTTCCAGAACTTCATTGAACTGGAATAAAATTGTGCATGGAAGAGTTTATGGTGATGGTGTGTATCATTCTCTTCAAGCCGCAACATCGTCATCGTATGCCGCAGCTGGTTATCACCGGTACGAATCTGGCACTTGGAAAAATTCCACGCTGATCGTTCAAAAATGCATGGCTTTGTGTGAAATTATAAATAGACCGTCGAAATTCACGAGGTAGGATTTGATGAATTCTGGATTTCATAAACTCAACGATTTCTCTTACGCTTGATTTCACGTGTTTTAGTACAAACCCTCATTTGGTTGTCAAAGACGAGAACTGGATTACCACCCGTTACTTATTTGTTGAATGCTCCAGAGAACAATTGGATTCCGATGAAAATCGTGATGACGACATGACAGCGATGCTCCCGGTTCTCAACCCGCCATACATCAACACACCTGCATATAACATTGGTGTATATAATCCATATACTATAAACATGCCGCATCCCGTTACCTCGTTAACGAATACGATTTCAAATGCTCTGCACCGTCGAAAAGAAAATACCTCATTTATAACATTGGATAGTCAATACTTTCCCGTCTGGTTTAATAATCAACCATTACAAATTCCAATGCGCGACTTTTCCATAATCAATAACGAGATACCCACTGGGAGCTCGGTTGGAATCGGTCGATTCGTTTGCGATTCATCAGAAATGCAAGAAATAATAAATAGCTCCGATAACCCCACAGACTATAATATTAATGAATCGATACTTTACGATACGAATGATGATACATTAGATGAGGAAGAGGGTAATGAAGAAGCGCCAGAGGAAAATTTGGATGCGAATCAGGAGGAAATTAATGAGGATGATGATATGGACGATGAGGAAGAAGACATGGACGATGAGATGAACGGTGATTGCGATGATGATGACTGTTATTACGATGAAGATGACGAGTTCCACTTTTCGGAGCCTGAAGATAAGAAAAAAAAAGAAGAAGTAATCATAATCAGTGACGGTAACGATGTCAAAGTCCGCCTTTTGTGCCTTTAAATTCTTTATAATATTCACTTGTTTCTAAAAACGTTTGACCTAAACAGACGATGAATTTGATCCTTCATTATTACCACTTCCTGGTGAGTTTATAATCGTTCGTAAGTTCCGTGACATTGTAATCACGCATTTTTACTAAAGGTGCATTCTCATTTGTAGCCGAATCATCAAAGGCGGCTACGCAACGAATTTGTCGTGAATTAAAACTGATTTACGATAAACAACAGTCGGGCGCTAACAACGACTTAGGCTTTTATTTGGATACTGAAAAGATGGCCTCCGTGTATCAATGGGTTGGTATTATGTATCACTTTTATAAAACTTATTTTGTTTATGCGTAATTAATTTATCGCATTACTTTTAGGTGGTTCAATTGAAAGATTTTGACCAGACTTTACCATTGGCGCAAGACATGGCTAGATACAAGGTGAAATCTATCGATTTAGAAGTCCGATTTGCGCCAGATTATCCATTTGTGCCACCGTAAGCTTTCATGTGTTTTTTTTTTTTAGTCTTGTGATTTAAAACGTATATGTTTAATTTTCTTTAAAATTTTGCATTCAAGTTACATTCGCGTGATTAGGCCAAGACTCTTAAGGTTTATGGACGGCGGTGGTGGACACGTGAGTGTTTGAATCGCAACATGCAAATTTACTATTAACTGGACAGCTACTAATATAGATTTATAGGTTACCGCTGGTGGGTCTATATGCATGGATCTTTTGACATTGGGTAATGCTGTCGAACGCGGATGGTCATCGGTATACACTATAGAGGCGGTGTTACTACAGGTATTTCTTTTTTTTTTTTGGTTTATAATTGGTCAGCTTCTCTTCCCAAATCGTACTTATTAATAATGTATTCTATTCCTTTAGGTCAGGATGGCTTTGAGTTCATTGGATCCAAAGCCTGCTAGGTTGGACCGTAATTGGAATTGCGAATACAGTGCTTCTGTAAGTTCTTTTTTGCTTTCACCTGAAGGGAACGTAATATTTATCGATGTTTTAACTTGAAATTACAGGAAGCCATTGACTCCTATATACGGGTAGCAAACCAACATGGATGGGGTGTTCCAAGTCAGTGGACTAAATTGTTTGGCCGTTAGGCGAAGGAGTACGGGTTGATTTTGATTATGTTCGGTATATTGGGCTAAAGTATATATATTATTGATCTGCGTTTCGCCTCATCCTTATTTTTGAATCAACTTCGAAGGGCTTATTCATTCGAAATTACGAAACCGAAAGTATTTAAATATCTCCAAATTACGGTTTCTTAGCATCATCTAACGTCCGCTCAACCGATCTCAAATTGGGTATGATGGAACGATGCTGTTGTAAATTCAATTTATTTTTACCCTAACTGACGAAATTAATGTTCAAACCTAGTGTTTAGAAATATATTGAAAATATTGATTATATAATTTATTTACTGAGAAGGCTATTAAATTGTAGAATATATACATATACATGTAAATTCGATCTAAAATAGCTATTGAAACACTAAATCCAAATAGTTTTTATGTATACGATTTCGAATTCTGGTTACTTGATCAGTACAAAAGGGATTTACTGTTCTTTGTTCGTTTATGGCAATGCATTTTGTTCGGTTCAAATCAACTTTAGAATTCTATTCTTGATTTAACATTAATGAATGATCTTGCACATAATTATCAAAAAAGAGAATAGAAATTTATATGAATATACTGTAAATTCAAATATAATAAAAAAACATTAAAATCAATTTTTATCTAATCATTTAACTTTTGTTTTATATGTTAAGAGATAAGTGTTGAAGTTAAATAAAAATTCCATGTTCTATTTCTTCAAAATACAGATAATAATATTTACTTGGATTTATTTAAAAGCACATAAAATAAATTTGTTTATTATAAAAATTACTATATATCAAAAGTCATGTTTTAAGATCTTTGTAAATAATAATAACAAATAAATCATCATAAATTGGTTATATAATAGATTATTTTTTTGTTAGGTTTTTTTTTTCAACTATCAAGGCCTAGCTTAGCATATTTTATTTAGTTTACATTTACAAGAATTACTATTTATAGATTATTTTAAATACATATTATACTATATCAAATTATTTCTATATTAGCTTGTTGCTATTAACCTATTTATAAATATGTATTAAGGCTAACATGCCAAGATTCCATTAGTGTTGTTATTGTATAAATAATAAAAATTTAAACTAACTATATATATATTTTATTTTCTTTAGTATAAATATCTGTTATAATATATTTTCTAGTTTATTATTAACTTGTTAATTATTGCTTTTCACTTTTTTTTTTCTTTTGATAATACTTTCACTTTGTTTTTATTATTAAAATTTTATATACTTTTAGTTTCAAATTTTGTAAAATTCTTTTGTTATATAACTTGTAATTGTTTTTAATATTTTTAATATTTGTTTTATTAATTGATTCAATAAGATTGATTAATATAAAAATTTTTAAAATATTATTAATAATTTTAAAAAACAGTAAACTTTGATATTTAAGTTTTAAATATTAACAAAAGTTAAAACTTTATTAAAATTTAAAAAATATTCTTTTATATACAATATGAATACTTGTTTTTGAAAAAATTTAATTAATTATATTTTAAAAAAAAAAAAAAAAAACTCTTTTTCACTTCCTTTTCTATGCTTGAAATTTTTTTTTTTAAGGAAATTTTAAGTTGTTTACTTTTTTTTATTTTTATTTTTCTCTTCTTCTTTATTTCTTCTTTTTCATACCTCTTTATTTTTCCTACTTTATTTTCTTATTTCTCTTTTATATACTCTTTTATATACTCTATCATTTTTTTTTCTTTTTTTCTTTTTCTGTCAAAGTTAAATTTTCACTTTTTTTTAAAAATTTTTTTTCTAGATATTTTTTCTTTTATAAACTCTGCTCTCTATAACATTACTTCTCTAACCAATTGACTTCTTTTTAAAATATGGGCTTTAGAAGTTTTCTTTCTTTCATAGCCTTATAAAAAAAAGTCAGATATTTTATCTCTCCAAAAGATCAATATGATTATTATTATTAAATTTAGTATTGTTTACTTGTTAATAATTAGATTAGATATATCTAAAAAACTAATATATAACTATTATTATCCAAAAGTATTCAAAAAGTTGTATTCTATTGTATTTAGAGTGATATGACAATCAATGTTAATGTAGTTAACAATAAGCTAGATTAGTTTGCAGATATTATACTAATGATTGAAGAATTTAATAAGATAAAATATAAAGATCGGGAATTCTAGTTATTTCTATAATATAAGCTGGAAATAATAACAAAAGTTTTTTACTTACCTCTCCAACAATATAAACTCATTATACAAAATTAGATATTAGTATTTTTAAAAAACTTCAATTTACTACATATCCAATATCTTCTTTAACAAATCATCACTTTATGTTCAAACTTTCTTTATATATTCTGATTCCAACTTACTTTAAAACCAAAATATACTCTCCAAAGTTACTCTGACAATAAAATTAATTGCTATCTTTTAGTCTACAGTTCTAGTGATGGGTTTTAAAATAAGGGTCTATATTAGATAAAAATGGTAAAAAATTAATATTGCCAAAGGATTGCCTTGATAATAAAGATAATTGCCACTCTTCAACCTTTAGTTCTAGTGATGAATTTAAATAGAAGATCAATATTAGATGCAAATGATAAAAGAGAACTATATTTTGATATAATTTGAATTTAGTATAGCTTAAAACCAACTTTTGTTCCACTTGACATATATTAAAGCCATATTTGAAAAACAAGTGTATCAATTCTAGTCATAACTTGGAGGACAACCTATATACAGTAATTACAATACCTTCATATAATTAGATAATTAAATTCTCTAAGTAGATAGACATTATTTAAGATATAATATAGGTTTTGAATTTTTTTTTCTATATTCTTAAGTGGTGCTATAAAGTTTAAATGGATGAATTGCAATTGTGAGTCTTGCATTAAACTCTTTTTAGCAAAGAAAAATATATACTATACCATAATTTATAAATCTTGTATTTGTAAATCTAAAATTTATAATAAAAATAGTGTATAGAAACTGTCTGTTCTTTCAAAAAAAAATTATTTATTAAAGTTTATTTGATAATTTATTATTTTAAAGTTTAAAAAAATTATTTTAAAGAATTCATTATAAAATTTATATATAAAATTATATATATTTTATAAATGGAAAAAAAAATTTATTAAAAAAAAAAAAACTCTTCAAAATTTCTAAAAAAATTTTTTTTTGGTAATACTAAAAAAAATACTTAAGAACACTCAAAGAAAAAACTTTACAATATCTTAAAAATAAAGTAGAACAGACATAACAAGTATACTGTAAGTTCAAAAGGTATACTGACTTTTCTTTATTTTTTAATTTTAAAGACAAATACTTATAATTTTTTACTAGGAAAAAAAAAAAACAAAAAATACAATTTATAGTAAAATTAAAGAAGAAAGTTAGTACTATACTTCACAAGCTGCCAACCAGTCATACATCAGATTAGATACCTTTTTAGATATTAGCAGGACTTAGTATTGGTCAAATCATATTTGATAAACCAGACAATCTCATATATTAACACAAAATCAAAAGGATACAAAACTTTTTTATTACTGTAATTAAAAAAAAAAGTACAAATCTTAATATTTTTTGAAAATAAACAACAACTATTTTGTAATCAAATTTTTATTGGAGACAAAAAACCAGAGACAGATTACTCTCTCTTAAAGATTAACAGTAACACAAACATATACTTTTCAAAATCAAACAATAACAACAATTATTAAATAAACAAATACAATTCAAAAATATAAACATTGTATATATAACAACTCCAAAGTTTACTAAAGTTAGCTTACTTCCAAAGCAAGATCTGCAGTAGCACAAATATGTTAACATCATAAATTAAGTAACAAAACACAATTAGGACTTATCAAAACAAGCAAATTACAAACTTCTTTGCAAAATACATGTCAATCTTAACTTCATATATCGAAAAAGGTACAATTATATTATATAATAAGCTGTTCTAAGCAAATCAATATGTATTAAAACAAATAGCAAAGCAAGCTAGTTTATATATGTCAACTCAACAAAAGTTTAAAACAATAGTTGACTTCAGTTCAATTCAAATAAAAAATCTAATAATAGAATATTTTAAAACAATTGAAAACAACAACAACAAAGAAAAACAAAAGTAATTCCATACTTTAATTGAAGATAGTGCAACAAACATAGCATCAGAGTTGAAAGATTTAGGAGCAATTGTGAATATCACAGTTATAGATGCAGTAGCTGCAAATCTTCCCAATATTAACTTATACACAGCTGTAAAATAAATATTAGCTAACAAATCTGGATATTCAATTAATTAGATATAAACATATTAAACAGATACATATTAAAAAATCTACAACAAATATCCCAGATTGTGAATATTCTATATTTAGTTCAAAACTCACAATATTCACAAAACAAAGATCCAGAAATTACATTACTTTCTGAACAACCTGCAATAGAAAACAGTAACCATAACTATTAACAAGAAATAGTTAAATAAGAAGTTATTATGAATAAATAAACTTCTGAAAACATAAGTAAAAATGAGAAAGATATTCAAATACTCTCTTTTAAGAGCATATAGAATTAGTTAATACTTCAAACATTGCAACACAAATGGACACTATGCAAACAAAAGAAGACTTTAATAACAGATTACAAGTAATAGAGGATATAATTTCAAATTTTGTAGCAATAGAAATAACAATAGAATCTGAAGACAAGAATAAAGAGAAGATTTCAATACAACTACTAACAGGAGATTGTATTATGACTATACAAAATTACTATACAAGAAACAGGCAATACACACCTATTAATTTCTTTTTTATTAACAAATTAGATGAATTTAAAATAGAGCACTTATAGCAAGCACATTTGAAGACTTCAAGAAAAAACAAATCAAATATATTGTCAATCTTTTTCCCTTATCAAAAGACAAGTATAAACTCATATAAGTACTATTTATTAATGGCAATAGATGATATACTGTTTATCTCCAATATAAAGAAGA